GAAAAAGAGATTGAGGACTCTATACATCTAGACCTCTATACTTCCTGTTCATTTATAACATGAGGACAGAGTATGTTTACTATAACCATAATTATGAATGAACAGGAGGCGATGTAGATCACTCCCCATTCATTCATAATTGAGGATATAGTTAACATACTATGTCCTCAATTATTTACAAACACTCAGCGATCACTGAGTGTTTGTACCGCTCTCCTTCCTGACAGCTGTCACAGGAGGCTAAGCGAGAGGAGCGGGGAGGAGAGCTCAGCCTCCTGTGACAGCGGTGGCTGTTTACGCCCACACACCGCTCTCCCGGAATGTGACAGGATACTGATCAGTGTGGGAGGAGAGACGCCGGCGGCTCAGAGCGCTCTCCTCCCACAGCACTTGCTCTCCTCCCCGCTGGGACACAGAGCAGCGCCCAGCGGGCAGGAAAGAAAGCAGGGATGCGCCGCTGTATCGGCAGAAAAATTGCACTTTCGGCATTCAGACGAAAGTGCCATTTTCGGCCGATATGTTTCGGCGGCCGATATATCGGTGCATCCCTAGTTTTAATCCTCTTCTACTATACCGTGTTTCCCCGAAAATAAGACAGTGTCTTATTTTATTTTTTGCACGAAATAAGACACTAGGTCTTATTTTCAGGGGATGTCTTACATGGCTGGGGGAGGAGTGGACGAGGTCCCGGAAGGCGGCGTGCTGTTGCCGGTCCCGGCGAATGTCGCTTCCATTGTGCGTGCGTGAGCTGCGGGCGGGAGCTGCGGCTGGCGTGTGGGCGGGGCTGGAGCTGCATGCAACACTATAAAAAAAAGTTTTGGCTATACATACAATTTAAGCAAAACCTGTCAATGCAGCTTTTGATACCAACTGGTGAGTACCCTCTTGATCTTCAAATTAAGCTAATGGAAGCCCTGTTTTGCTGGAAGTTGCGTCAGATTGAGCAAGGCTCTGAAACCCTGGTGAGAGCTTTGAGGAGTGGACTTTCAAGCCAGCCACAGTAAATTCATTTTTTTCATATTAGAGAACTATGGGGTTAGGGCTTTTCACCATTGTTCTACTTAGGGTAATGGGAGGACACTAGTTTGTGTCCTCCCGTCACCCTAAGCTACAGCACGCAGTATACTGAGACGCCGCAGTATACCGCCAGCTACAGCTACAGTTTCATTGTCACAGGTCGGCTAGAACTATGAGGTGAGTAAAAAGCAATCACCTCATAGTTCTCCTTTAAAGTAAGGAATCTATCAACAACTGAGAAATAAGAGTTGTAAGTTAAAAAGATATAGTACCTAGAAAATAATAGGCAGCAAATGCATTGTTTTGTACATACCTTGCATTTTGCAATGTACCTGGCTCTATAGGCTGTACTGTTTACAGGCTGAATAGTGACTGCTCTGCCGGCCACGGTCACTTTGATTATGCAAACATTATGGTCTTGTACAATTCAGTAAACTGGGGGAGGAGTGGACGAGGTCCCGGAAGGCGGCGTGCTGTTGCCGGTCCCGGCGAATGTCGCTTCCATTGTGCGTGCGTGAGCTGCGGGCGGGAGCTGCGGCTGGCGTGTGGGCGGGGCTGGAGCTGCATGCAACACTATAAAAAAAAGTTTTGGCTATACATACAATTTAAGCAAAACCTGTCAATGCAGCTTTTGATACCAACTGGTGAGTACCCTCTTGATCTTCAAATTAAGCTAATGGAAGCCCTGTTTTGCTGGAAGTTGCGTCAGATTGAGCAAGGCTCTGAAACCCTGGTGAGAGCTTTGAGGAGTGGACTTTCAAGCCAGCCACAGTAAATTCATTTTTTTCATATTAGAGAACTATGGGGTTAGGGCTTTTCACCATTGTTCTACTTAGGGTAATGGGAGGACACTAGTTTGTGTCCTCCCGTCACCCTAAGCTACAGCACGCAGTATACTGAGACGCCGCAGTATACCGCCAGCTACAGCTACAGTTTCATTGTCACAGGTCGGCTAGAACTATGAGGTGAGTAAAAAGCAATCACCTCATAGTTCTCCTTTAAAGTAAGGAATCTATCAACAACTGAGAAATAAGAGTTGTAAGTTAAAAAGATATAGTACCTAGAAAATAATAGGCAGCAAATGCATTGTTTTGTACATACCTTGCATTTTGCAATGTACCTGGCTCTATAGGCTGTACTGTTTACAGGCTGAATAGTGACTGCTCTGCCGGCCACGGTCACTTTGATTATGCAAACATTATGGTCTTGTACAATTCAGTAATTGATTTGCAAGTGTGCTACACAACACGGGCTAGCAGACGGAGAAGACGACACAGCAGGTTAGTACTGCCGCACCGCATGGGTCAGGGCACAAAAATGAAAATATTTATCATGCCATTGCTAACTAAGGCTTGTACCCCCATAGTGGGGAAAATAGATGAGCACATGTCCAGACTCACTGTATGCAGCATTAGATATAGCTGTGCCACACTGTGTTCTGGTCTGCAGTCTGGACATGTGCTCATCTATTTTCACCACTAGGGGGATACAAGCCTTAGTTAGCAATATCTACATAGTTATTTTCTTTTTTTTAAATAATATATGCCGGTAAACAGCATTTTTGTGCCCAGCCCCATGAGGTGTGTCGGTACTAACCTGCGGTGTCGTCTTCTCCGTCTGCTTCAGCCACTCCG